GGGCACTGGCTCCTCACTCTGGTGTGGAAAGCAGAATTCCATCGCCAGGGATGAGGCCCCAAGGGATACAAATGCTCACACATCCCCTACTGAGGTGGGGAGTGTCAACGAGGAACCAAGCCTGCCTGCACCCCGGGCAGAATGTGCCCTTCCCAGAACCAACGGAAACATGCCCCACAGGCCAGCAGAGAGCTGAGAGGTTACGTCACTGGACTCCCACATGGCCAACCACAGTTCGAGTCCCGGACCTGGTGGCTTAAACTCACACCAGGCCATGTGTGGGTGCATGTCCAAGATACCAAAAAGAGAAGGGATCATAGTGCAGCTATTTCCCCTGGAGGGTGACTTCTCACTTTCCCTCTCACTGTCTCTGTCTCTCCGCACCCCCATCCCCACTTCGAACACATGCACTCTATGGCAAAATTCTCTTTTAAAAAAGTCCCAAATGTTGGGAAACCATTTGCCACTCCTGAGAAGCCACAAGAAGCCCCAAGGTGATGTTCAGAAGCAACTCTGTAAGGACATCTCCCGCGGGGATCGCGCCATCTCGAGCCATCTCCCCAGCGCCCCCTCAGCAACCTGACCCTGACCACCCACTGGCCTGGGTCTCCCACTGCCCCTACACATGCTGCCCCAACCACCTCAGGCCTTTAAACGTCTTGTTCGTTGGACTGGAATACCATGGCCTCGCTCCCTGTGCCTGGGTAACTCATTCACTTGTCTGTGTGCTCATTCAACAGGAATTCTGAGCCTCTCCTGTGGTCTGGGTGCTGGGCTGGATGCTGTGAACCAGGCAGCTCAGAAGGCCCCTGCTCTCAGGGGACCTGAGAGGTCAGGGGGTACAGGGCAGACCTGGACAGGTAGCTGCATCCATGAACAAAAGCACTGGAGACAGGTGATTAGGGGCGGAGTGGGGCGGGGCGGGCAGGGAAGGTTCATGAGGTCGTGGCTTCAGTGCATTGAGACGAGCCAGCAGGCAAAGTGCCAGAGCAGGAGCAGGAGGGTACCTGCTGGGAAGGAAAAAGCACGGAGGGGAAGCAAGGGAGTGCAGGACAGGTGTGCGGGAGAAACAGGGTCCTGTTCACCTTCCGGATCTCAGTAAGATCTTCTCTTCAGGAAGCGGCCCCGACTCCATGTTCAGGTGAGCCCTTAGCATCCTGCACGGCCCCCAGAACCACCACCACTGGTCTGACTCTCCTATTCAATCGTAGGTGCCATGAGGGCAAAGCCACCTCTATTCTCTTTGGCCCTGTACCCCTGCTACACCCCAGAATACACTGGGCATGCTTCCTTCTGTGCAAGACGGAAAGACAGGTAAAGGAACATGTGTGCTCAAAGAGTGTCCCTGTCTGTATCCTTGAGGCAGCCAGAGGTCTCTCATTAGAAGTGTCACCCAGTCAGGAGGATTGCTGGGCACAAAGGCTTGTGTGGGCCTCACCAGGGAGGGCTGGCGATAGAGTGTCTGCCCACATGTTACACTCAAACCTCCTCAGGCTCCACTGGGCTGAACTTCTAGAGCAGACGGTGGAGGCTGACCCTGAGCAGACAAGAGCAAATGGGGACTGACCTGATGGGGGATGGGGGAGCAATAAGAAGACCAAGGACAGGAAGAGCTTGCTTTGGAAATGTGGTATAGCTGTGCTTTACATGGCACTCTTTAGGAGACCAGCAGTTGGCGCAATGGCTATGTCACTGGACTCCTTTGTAGTCGACCACGGTTCGAGTCCCAGACCCAGTGGCTTAAACTTACGCCGGGTGAGTACGCATCAGTGCCCAAGATTCTGAGAAGAGAATGGAGGAGAGGGGATTGCGGCATGGCCATCCACCCCTGGGGGGTGATTTCTCGCTTTCTGTCTCTCTGTCTCTCTCTTTCAGGAAGAGCTTGCTTTGGAAATGTGGCCTAGCTGTGCTTTAGATGGCACTCTTTGTGGGACCAGCTGACCACGGTTCAAGTCCCAGACCCAGTGGCTTAAACTTACACCAGGCGCGTGTGCATCAGTGCCCAAGATCCTGAGAAGAGAATGGAGGAGAAGGAATTGAGGCACGGCCATCCCCCCTGGGGTGTGATTTCTCATGTTTTCTCCTTCCATCTTTCTGTTTTTCTCTCTCTATGGCAAAAACCTAAAATGAAAATAAAGCCACACAAATGATCAGCAGTTACATGGAAACATTACTAATCAGCAGAGAAATACGAGTCAAAATTACTATGAAATATCACCTCATACCTATTACTTGTGGTTGTTATCAAAAAGAAGTGCTGGCAAGGACAAGACAAAAGGGAACCCTTGTGAACTGTTGGTGAGAATGTAAATTGGTATAGCTGTCACGGAAACAGTATGGAAGATCCTCAAAAAACTAAAAATACATCTACTGTGTGATCCAGTAACCTCATTTCTGGGTATATGAGGGTACTTGAACAAATTTGTAGTAAGTAGAATTAAAGTATGAGTGCAAAATATTGGCACAAAATATTTTAAAATCTGTAAATAGATGTCCATAATACACATTTCCATGAACTTTTCAAGAGCCCACAGATCTCCAAAGGAAATTAAATCAGTATGTCAGGGATATCTGTATCCCACATGTTCACATTTTAGCATTATTCACAAGAGTAACAAGTGAAAGTGACTAAAGTGTCCATTGACAGATAAATAGATTTTTTAAAATGTGTCATACACACAATGAAGTATTATTTAACTGTAAAAAAAGACAATCCTGCCATGCAGGACAACATGGATGAATATGGGGAATATCGTGCTAGGTGAAATACGTCAGCCAGAGAGAAAAGTACTGTATGATCTCACTTACAGATAAAATCTCAAAAAGTCAAACTCATAGAAATAGCAGAATGGTAGTTAGGGGCTGGCAGGTGAGGGAATGGGAAAATGTTGGTCAGAGGAGGGTAAAGTTCTGAGTAAGGCATAGCAGAGATGGTGATGGTTGTGTTAATGTGATCATGATAATTATTATACAATGTGTATGTGTGTATAAAATCATTATGTCGTAAAACTTGAATATAGAACTTTTTAAAATTTTCAATGAAATATTTGTTAAAAATAGCCATTCATTGCATACAAGGAAGGTCAAAAAAATTCACTGGACTCCTTTGTAGTCGACCACGGTTCGAGTCCCAGACCCAGTGGCTTAAACTTACGCCGGGTGAGTACGCATCAGTGCCCAAGATTCTGAGAAGAGAATGGAGGAGAGGGGATTGCGGCATGGCCATCCACCCCTGGGGGGTGATTTCTCGCTTTCTGTCTCTCTGTCTCTCTCTTTCAGGAAGAGCTTGCTTTGGAAATGTGGCCTAGCTGTGCTTTAGATGGCACTCTTTGTGGGACCAGCTGACCACGGTTCAAGTCCCAGACCCAGTGGCTTAAACTTACACCAGGCGCGTGTGCATCAGTGCCCAAGATCCTGAGAAGAGAATGGAGGAGAAGGAATTGAGGTGTGACCATCCTCCCTGGGGGGTGATTTCTCGCTTTCTGTCTCTTTGTCTCTCTCTGTCTTTCTCTGTCTTTCTGGAAAGCGCACACACCCTGTAGCAAAAACCTCTTCAAAAAAAAAAAGAAAAGAAAGAATTCTTTTTTTTAAAAAAAAAAAAAAAAAGAATTATTTTATTTAACTTTATTTCTTCTTCTTCTTTTTTTTGTTTGATCAGAGCCAAAATTTTGGCGAGTGCATGTGCCCTATAGTAAAAAAAACCTCTCCAAAAAAAATATAGAACCCTTTGATTTGAGAGAAAAAGCCTTGAATGCTGTTTTGGAAAGATGCCAAACACAAAAAGCTAGCATGGTGTAGGTCAGGTCTGTGGTCACATCAGCTGTGCTGGTAAGATGCACTCCGTCTGAGTACTGAGCCGGCTAGGTGTCTCTCACAATGAACACGTCCCTCCAGGAATCAGAACGTGAATAAATGGGGAGCAGGCCTGTTGTCCTGGTAACACCTAAGCTTTTCTCCAAGACCTGAAATGCTTAATTTGAAGATACCGTTCAATAAAGTATGGTCAAATTAGGCGATGGCTTTAGAATCCATTTAACTATATCGTGTGGAAGAACTGGGCACTGACTGGCCAGAGCAGGAAGATTCCTCCCAGTTCCACAATCATTTTCTTTTCTGATCTGGGTGATGTGTCCATGGGTGTGTGGTTTTGAGCAGAATACACATATCGCGTGCATTTTTCTGTATGTATATTCTATTTAAGCTAAAAAAGGAAAAAGTACCAGCGCCAGAGGTTCTGCAGCTCCGAGAGCGACTCAGTACAAGCTAGTAACCGGGCCTGAGAAGAAAGTGAGAAGGTGCCTCCTCGGGGAAACCTCGCGGCCCGCCAGCCCCAGCCAGCACTTCGCCAAGCCTTTTATCTCGGCACCAGCCATGGTGTGGGAGGAGAGCTTTCCGTCTCTCAATCTCACAGAGCATTTCTGCAGAGGAGAGGATGCACCTCCTCCTTCCCTGCATCGCTGTGCCTGGGAAGAGATGTTCCAGGAACGGGTCCTGAGTGAATGGGAAGGAGAGCGAAGTGCCCATGTGCAAATGTTTAATGCATGCACCGGGAAAGAAATGGCTGCGGTGAGTGGACACAGTGTGCCGTGGGGCTGGCTGGAATGTGTGGTCATGGCTGCTGGCAGAGGCGAGATCACACGGGGAGGGAGGGCAGCCTGGACCTAGTCAAAGGGTCGGCAGGTCGACGTGGGTGTGGAAGGGATCCAGGCAGCTGCTGCGCTCGCCTTCTGAGGAGGGGGTGGACTTAGATCCGACACTGTCCAGCAGACCCTTCCCAGGGGAACGCCACTTAGCAATCTTCCCTGCTTTCCTAAATGGGCAGCCGTCCCCTGACACTGGTCAGCACAGGCCTTGGTGGCTGGTTGCCCTGGTCCTTCCCTTTCTTGACCCCCAGAAGATGGGAAATATCAGGGAACACACACACTTCCCTGCTTGTTTTTTCTGGACACTGTGGAGGCGGCTTGGGAGATGAAAGTATTGCCAGAATGGGACTGACTTACCCAGCATAGTCAGCTTGGCTATCTCCTTCAAACAGGAGTTTTTGTAGGACGCAGCCTTGGACAGCTGCCAGAACCCCACAGGGACCCCCCTGCAAAGAATGACAAGTGTTACTGCAGCAAGACTGGCCCAGAGCACTCTGACCCACTGGAACCAGCCCCGGCCCACAGGTTAGAGAACGGGGGGTGTTGCTCCTTCTGAGACTGGGGTCTCTCATGTGGTTCCAGTGTATGTAGATTAGACAATAGGGTTATGGTACAGACTGAGCAAACGATGACCCATAGGCCAAGTCTGCCCCCCCCCACCTATTTCTATAAATAAAGTTTTATTGGCACAGCGCCATGCCCATTTGTTTGCATATTGTATATAGCCGTTTTAATACTACAAGGGCAGAGTTGAATAACTGCAACACGTTGACCCTGAGCTACAGAGAGGGAGTGGCAAATCCAGCCCCCATCTCTGAAAGAAGAGGTGATTGATTCTGCAGTGCATCATGGGAGGAAAGAGACTCTTCAAAACCACCCAGGTGTGAAGCCAGGGATGTCACCACAAGTTTCCCATCATCCAAGAACGGTTTCCACGTCCACAAGCTGAAATGCCAGTTGTTTACACAGCCTTTACGGCCCATCTTAAGGACCTCCTCCTCCTCTAGAAAGACTCCCCTGACCATCTGAGCCAGCACTGAGCCCCTTCAGCAGCCTTGGCTTATGTGAGCTCTCTCCTGCCCAGCTTGGGGCCTGCCTCAGCATCCCCTTAGGGTGTCTCTGTTCCCTTCCACCCTGAGTGTAAAGGCTCTTTAAGGAACTTATCCCTGTGGACATCGGGGGGCTCTGCCTGTAAGACAGAGGCAAAAGTGGAGAGACTGAACAGCATCAACAGTCCCCATCCAGGTTCAAGGACTGTCAGAGTGGCAGGCACCCTCCAAGCAGGGATGTAAGATGACAGGCTGAGTTTGGCCACATGAAGGAGCGACAGAAGCTGGGGATTTGGGGGCTCTTCCCCAGGCAGCATGAGGCAGGATGAGGGTCCTGGTCTTGAGAAATGTAGTGCAGTTGAGCTGACCTACTCCATCTGGTAATTCTTTGATCCCAGATTCAGAGACTCTTCTGACCCACAGTGAGAACATCTCGGGAAGTCTGCACAAGCCATGTTCAAAGCCTGCCACCCTCTACCTCTGTCCCTCCTATTACGCCCGCCTCTTCTGCGCCTGCTCCACGCACAGGACAAGCTGCCCTCGCTGCAGCCCGCCCTTGCTCATGCTGCCTCCTGCCCAAGTGCCCTTTCTCTAGCTCTGCCTGCACGAACCTGTGCGGGTCTCCACGCCCAGCCTAAGCGGGCTCCAACCAGACTCGGGGCCTGCTCCTGCTCCCTCCAGCCAGTGACCCAAAGACAGGCACCACCCGTAGCAAGCACTCCTAACATTCATGTTCAACCTCAACATCTCCAAAGCAGAGGGTGTCTTTCCCCAGCTCTCGCTCCGCCAAACTCATGTGAAGAAACTGCACTGGGTGACAGCTCAGCAGATGTGGGGCTGGCAGGATTTACCAGATCTGGGCAGTGTCCCCACCATTGTGCATGAGGACCCAGCAGAAAGGTCCCTGGGACACATCAGAGCAACCTGCCTTGTTCTGCACGATGCCATATTTTAGTGAGGCCGTGTCATTAAAGGAAAAACTCTGAAGTTTCCATTCTTCATTGAAACAGCACAAGCTGGAACCAAACAGAAGGGTCTTTATTTCCTGGAAAAAGGAGAGAGAGTTTTATCAGTTGTTTTAAAAACAAACAACACAATGCTCGGTGTGCAGATTCCCATGGGAGCTGGTTTTGAATGGACTGGCGGGGAGGTCTATTTTCTAGCAGGGCAATCTATTTCCTTTTTATTTTGCAAGCCCATTCTTCTCATATTTGAGGAAAGAAAAACTCATCCGTGAGGGTCTTACCTCTGGAACACCTGCAAGCCAAACCGGCCTATGCCGACATGAACAAAAATGTTTGTAGGTGCTTTATGGAGACCTTAAAACCCACAATTTTAGTTTTGCAAGGGATCTTGGAGGTCTTCTGATCCTTCCCAGGAAAGACTAGAGGTTTTCATGGATGATCTCACTTTAAAATCATCTCAGGAGCCTTCAAAAAAATAATCCTGATGCTCAGGTCACTTGTTAAGTCAATTAAATTCGAATTCTGAGGGTGCGGCTCGGGTATCGGTGGTTTATAATTCCACTCGGTGATTCCAGTGTATGTAGATTAGACGATAGGGATATGGTACAGACTGAGCAAACGATGACCCATAGGCCAAGTCTGCCCCCCCCCCATTTCTATAAATAAAGTTTTATTGGCACAGCGCCATGCCCACTTGTTTACATATTGTATACAGCTGTTTTTATACTACAAGGGCAGAGTTGAATAGTTGCAACAGAGACCAGCCAGCGCTGAAAACAGACTATCTAGCCCTTTACAGAGAAAGCTAGCTGACCTCTGCTCTGAGACAATCCTTTAACCATGTGTAAAAATCCCCTCTAGGACTCCGCTCATGAGTGATCCCCCACAAACTCTGCTTGGATACCACAACTACCCATCCTCCCGAGGCAGCCTTTCTGTTTTTTTATAGTTCAGTCTTCTCTAAATTTCTGGCTAATATTGTGCTCAGTGTTCATCTCCCATCAACCCAAGTACTACTCCAAGCTCCAGAAGTGGTCTATCCCTTGGGTGGCAAGACAGAGCCTCTCCCACCAGCTCCCCACCCCACAAAGGGCCCACTCTCTCTCTCTCTCTGCCAAGGCTTCACATCCAAGGGGTCTCTGCACCCTCTGGTGAGTCTAGGACCCATAGGTGGGCACCACCTGTGGAACCCTCTCCAGATCGGGGCCTTCCTGCAGACTCAGATCATTCTCTACCAGAATTAGTTCTTCTTCCCTTTTCATGAAGTGTGAGGAAAACCCCAGTGACAGATGCATTTGTGCTCATGTCTGTGAATGTGGGCTGGTGGCATTCGGGAGAGAAGATGCGTGAATGTATCTGTCGGGGCGCAGCTGTCCTTCACATGCGACTAGGGTTATCCAGTTGTCAGATGGTTTCCCTAGAGAGTCTAGAAACTAGTCGTAGGTTTTCTGGCTGAACTCCTGCTCCATCCTCTGAGTCACAGGATGGCAGCTCTCAGCTAGGCACTGTGTGGTTGGCCTATCCTGCAAACCTGGCCTCTACTTGCCATGGAAGCCAAGGGTTCAGGCCCTCCTTTCCTCCCTGTGGATCTCACTTTTCCAGCTCTTTTGGAGATGCTGGTCTGTAAGGCCCATTTTCCAAAGGGAGTACCCTCTGCCCTATGACTATGGGTGGCCAGAGTGCCTACACCCCAGTATGGGGCCACGTAAATGTGTCTGATGCTCAGTGATTTCAAAAGAGGAAAGGGAAGGAAAGGGAAAGGGAGAAGTAGGAGGAACGGGGAAGAAGGAGGGGAAGGAAAGCACAAATCTCCAGAAAGATCTCTTACTTTCTGATCTGTGTGTTGAGTAAATGCGCAGTAAGTGAAAGAGAAGGAGATAAGCTATGTCCTCAGGAGTTCTGTTTTTTCTTCCTGGTTCCCGGCTGAGAGGCCAATAGGGGACAGCTAGGACAACATGCATCCTACACCAACCTATGGTCAAGGGAGAGGTGAGGCCGTTCTAGCCGCTGAGGGTAGGGAGGACTCTGCAGAGGAGGCTGCTCCCCACGTCTGCCCTGTGAGCACACGTCCACCCAGGAGGCCATGGATGTGAACCTAGATGGTGCGGAAGAATTCTTAACACCTCCCTGCCCTTCTCTCACTGCGGCCCAGCCGGGGCCCAGCTTAAGAGACAGCTGGTCTCATGGATCAGTTATCCCTTCCCTGTCACAGTCTGGCAGTGCCCCCCGGGAATGTGGCAAAGTAGAAGCGGGTCCTATAATGTTTGAACGGGAAGAATACAGTCTCTTTCTTTTCCTCTTGGGGACAGGAAGGGAGATGGACTAGAACCCAGTTTTCCTGACCCTTGGCTCAGGTTTTCTTCTACATCACAATCAAAGTCCCATTTCAGCAATGACCAAGAGATTGCAATGAGACAGACCGGGCTGAAAGATCAAAATCGCCTCATCTGCATCGATTGAAATCAAGACGTCCGAGGGGTGTTCCAAAAGCTCATGGAAAGTATGTATTATGAAAAAACTACATGGAGTCCAAAATGTTTTTGCACCAGAAGACACTCATACTGTAACGCCCTTGTTTCCATAAACTTTCTGAAGGGCCCTCGTGTCGACGTGGTCGGCTCTGTACACCACGAGGTGGACACGTACCTTGGCGACAGAGAGGTCGATGGGCTGCGATGTGACCTGCAGCTTGCGCACCGACGGGCCCGGGCCCAAGGTGACTTCTTCCCTTATCAGTTCATCCTCCACATCCTCTGAAAGAAAGATGAGCCATGTGAGTGGAACACGACGCCAGTTGACGCCACAGGCACTGGTAAGTTTGGAGGTCTGAGTAGAGGGAGGACTCGCCCACCAACCATCCCAGCCTACACCTGGGGCTCCTGGGTCTTCACCAGAAAGAAAGGAAATGGAGCGAAACAGACCTCGCTCCTTGTCACATCCCTTCCCGACTGTATTGCAAGCTGCTGGGTGGGAGCTGGCTGCCAGCCCCCGAGAAAGTCCCACACGTGGACGAACAGTGGAACGTGAAACAAAGCATAGGCCAGACGCCTCCTTACACAAGGTGGGCGTGAGCACACTGCCTCATCCCCTGAGCACACGCAAGGAGGACAGAAAGGGAAAAAGAGACCATTCCTGATAAAACAGTATTCATAGATTATCACTCTTGTAGTTTACAGTCATTACCACTTGGACTGTCCCACCTAACCCCCAAAACAGCCTTGTGAGGAAGCAATTATTACCCCCCATTTACCGATGAGGAAACTGAAGCTTAGGGGGGTTAAGTAGCCAGCCCCTAAGTGGCAGAGACAGAATATGAACCTGGCAGGCTCCTAAGCCCCCTGCCTTCCTGCCTCCCCTGGAAGCCCAGCCAGAGTGAAGCTAAGCCATAGTCCAGGTACAGTTGCCTTGCAAGCCGAGGTGACTGACGCCCAGAGGGCGTCCCACCTGAGGCTTCGGTCGCGTCTGTCTGCCCCTGGCTGACTGACACACATATACACCCCTGCACCCCGTTGCTGTCAGGCCTGCTGCTACCACTGCATTTACCAGAGCCTCAGATCAAGGAGCCAAGGAAGCAACCTCGAGGCCATTGTGCTGGCAAAGCTGAGCAGGGCGGGCTCGGGACGCTCGCTAAGGCCTTGGCTCCGTGAAGGCAGCCCCCTGGAGGAGCCTACTGGGGTGGGGGTGGTGTCCAAGGCTGACATCCCAGAACACGTATCATATATCTGACTCTGCAGCCCCCGTTTCTTCCCTGAAGGGAACACATCATAGCACAAAATAAACCCCCTGAGGCTCAGTCCACTGAATGCAGAGACAGTCTCACTTTGTGCTGAAAAAAAAAGTCTGGAATTAAAATGAAAATGTTAATTTAAAGGAGATCTCTTCTTACAAGGGTCTTTGAAACAGCTACCATGGAATCATGGCCTTATAAAGACCAGCCGTTCACCCAGCAAGATGAGCGGGTCCTAAAAATATGGTGCTGGGGAGAGAAAGACAGAAACCAAGGAGACGCATCTCAGTGCTAGTTACGTCGGGTACCACACGTGCAGGCACCACACGCATGCGCTCTGCAGGAACACACGCAAGGGATGAGATACCAGTTACGCACAAGGCAGGTGCTGATGGGGGAGGGATGCCAGGTGCAGAGCTAAAGGGAAATACGGAAGAAAAAGTGAGAGCGAGGAAAGGGGCGGGAAGAAGGGAGAGAAGGTGATGGTCAGACTCTGGCAAGATTGACAATGAGAATGTTCCGAGGCACCTGGGACCCCAAAGGGGCAGAGTAACCTCGGTGATTCCACCAGACCCTGAAAGGCTCTTTGCGATGCTTCAGGCCAGACTGATTCCTGGAAGCACAGGGCGAAGGTATTTAAACCTACTTGGAGGGTTCTGTTTAGTCTGAGGTTGTCAGGGAGGAAGCCAGGCCTGAGCTTGCTCTGCCAGTTTCCACGAAGGAAGTGTAGGGATGGAGGCTGGGGGTCCGGGGCAAGCCCAGGCCCAGTGAGCCCCAAGAGGAGGCAGCCTCCTTTGGCCCTGGTGGGGAGAGGTTGGCCCCAGTACAGGGAGTTGGTTCAGAACCACATAGCGGGCCCCGGGCCCAGATGTGGTGGGACCGCCACAAAAGGGAGAAAACAAAATGCTCCAGAATGACATGTTGGCTGAGCAGACAAAAATGGCCGCAAATGCCAGTGGTTTGAGAGAGCTATTTTTAAGGCTTTGGCACAAATATCTGGTTGAAAGGAGAAGCAAGGGGTTTTGTTTCTCATACCATTTTATGTGTCCTTTGGAGGAAAAAAAAAATATATATATATACATATAAATGCTATAATTGCATTTCAAGAGTCAAAGATACAGAAGGGAATGACGTTCACTCTACAGATTGTATAGGAAGATGGCCATCCCTCTCCCTTCTAGGAACCTGTGCTGTATTTTCACTGACCACAAGATAGCTTCTGGAAGTTTCTCAATCCCAGAGACTCAATACCCCTCTGTGCTTTAATTTTGACAAAAATTGAAGAAAAGAATGAAAAGAAAAGAGAAAAGGAAAAGGAAAATAAAGGATAAGAAACCATGGATGTGAATCCCCAGGAGAGTTTGTGGAAGAGATACAAGGGAAGAGAGGCCTTGGGGGGACAAGGAAACTTTCAGCAGCCGTTGGCTGCCAGGGCACGTGCAGGGCTGTGCTGAGAGCAGACCGAGGGTGTGAAAGGTGGCCTCGCATCCTCAGAGGGCAGGGTCGGGAGGGACACAGGCAGAGAGGTGTCCTCTGTAGCAACCCACAAGCAGATGACCAGCAGAGCTAATGCTTCAAGAGACTGTGTGAATTCCTCAGTTTCCATGGCAAGGAAACATTTAGGCTGAACTTTGAAGGAGACCAGGGGCCTTGCCAAGTAGACATGTGGGTGGAACCATATGGCCCAAGGGCTGGCATGTGAGAGAGATTGGCGACAGGTGAGTGGCCTGCTGGGAAGCAATGGCATCATTGGGGAATGAGGCTGGGATAGGTAAGTGTGATTCTGGGTGCCATGCTGAAGGCTGGGCTGTCAGTCCTGAGACAGGAAGGAGCCCATGACGCCTGTGTGCTGATGAGTGACACACCCAGGGCTGTGCGCTCAGGGGTCTAAGAGCCTGGGCATCGTGAGGCTGCTGAGGGGCCTGTGAGTAGCCCAGAGAAGAGGTGATGAGACTCCTGTTCTCTTATGGATATTCCAGGGCCCTGCTCAAATATCAGCTATCATAGGAAGCTCCCCCCACCCCCTGATTCTTTATGCAGAATTGATCACCTCTCCTGTCTGGTCTTTTTTTTTCTTTTTTTTTTTTGGTAGAGGTGTTTGCCTTAGAACAAGTATACTCCCCAGACAGAGAGAAACAGACAGACAGAAAGTGAGAAATCATCCCTCAGGGGGTGGGGGAATAATCACGCCATAATCCCTTCTCTTCCATTCTTTACCTGGGATCTTGGGCACACATGCACTCACGCCCAGCATGAGTTTCAAGCCACCAGATCTGGGACTCGAACTGTGGTCAACTGTGTGGGAGTCCAGCAAAACAACTGCTATGCCATCTGTGGGCCCCCTCCCATCTGGTCTTAAAACCTTTGTGCTGGTACCACAAAGTAATGGCTATGTCGCTGGACTCCCATGTAGCCGACTGCGGTTCGCGTCTCAGACCCGGTGGCTTAAAACTCACACCGGGCACGTGTGCGTGAGTGCCCAAGATCCCAAGAGGAGAATGGAGGAGAAAGGATTGTGGCGTGGCCATCCCCCCTGGGGGGTGATTTCTTGCTTTCTGTCTCTCTGTCTCTATCAGTCTTTTTGGCAAGCACAGGCACCCTGTAGCAAAAACCTCTCAAAAAAAAAAAAACCTTTGTGCTTAGGCCAGCAGGTGGCATGGTGGTTAAGGTGCTGAACTCCTATATGGCCAACTGTAGTTCAAGTCCTGAACCTGACAGCTTGAAACTTATGCTGGGTGCACATGTGTGCGTGCCCAAAATCCTGAGTGGATAATGGAGGAGAAGGGATTATGGCGTGGTCATACCTCCTGGGCAGTGATTTCTCATTTTCTTCTCTCTGTCTCTTTCCAGAGAGCACATTATGGAAAAACGCTAAAAAACCAAACAGGATCCAGCAGGTGGTGTAATGATGAAGGCACTGGACTCCCACAGGGTTGACCTTGGTTCAAGGCCTGGACCTAGCAGTTTAAAACTCACGCTGGGCACATATGTGTGCCCAAAATCCTGAGAGGAGAATGGAGGAGAAAGGACTGCAGTGTAGTCTTCCCCTCTGGGGGGTGACTTCTTACTTTCTTTCTCTCTGTCTCTCTGACATGCACATATGCCCTATAGCAAAGATCTCTCAAAACAAAACAAGAATCAAAAAATGCCCCTCATGCTCTTCCCTATTCTAGCACGTGCTGTGTTATGGTTGTGTAGGACTCTGTCTCTAAGCGGGGAGCTTCCTGAACCAGGTGGCACACAGTTGTCCCTGCACTGTCTCTGACAGTGTTACCTCTGGCACATTATGGGTGTTTGATAAAGCACTTGAGCAAACAGAAGAATCGTGGCGTATTTCTGTAATAGCGAGGAGAGAAAGGTGGGAGGGCCGGGGGACACGATTCGAGATATTCTGGAGGTGGAATGACCCAGAGGCTGGAGTGAGGTGGTAGGTGGGAGAAGTGGAGGTTTCGGCATGGGTTACTGATAGAAGAGTGGAGAGGGGAGCCCACACAGTCTCTTGAAGCATTAGCTCTGCTGGTCATCTGCTTGTGGGTTGCTACAGAGGACACCTCTCTGCCTGTGTCCCTCCGACCCTGCCCTCTGAGGATGCGAGGCCACCTTTCACACCCTCGGTCTGCTCTCAGCACAGCCCTGCACGTGCCCTGGCAGCCAACGGCTGCTGAAGGTTTCCTTGTCCCCCCAAGGCCTCTCTTTCCTTGTGTCTCTTCCACAAACTCTCCTGGGGATTCAAGTCCATGGTCTCTTATCTTTTCTCTTTCTTTTCTCTTTTCTTTTCTCTCTTTTCATGCATGGTCGCTTATCCTTCATATCCTCCTTTTCTAAACCATTAGCTGAGCCATAGCAAAGACAGGGTCTGCTTCAGAAAACTCACGCACATGCACACGCATGCACACACACGCGCGTGCGCACGCACACACGCTTCAAAGGGCTGGCTTCTGAGAATCGCTAAAAGCCTTCCTTCCATCAGAGGCTCTCCGGGTTCCAAGGGTCGGGAACTGCTTTTGCTTTGTGGCCTTCACTGGAAACTCTCGAAATCCAGCGCTTCACAGGAAGGCTTAGGGTGCCAGCACTTCCGGGCTCCAAGCCTTAAGCCGCATAGCCAACACAGAACCCAGCCCCTTCCTGGGTAGCGCTAATGATCCCCACCAGCCCTTTTTGGTGATTAAGACTAAGGATCTGTTACCCTCTGAAGTGACTTAAGTGGAACAAACAAGCCCCTGCCACGCCTTTCAACTTCATCAAAGCAAACTGTCAGACTGCCCGTCTCACACAAGCCACTTCTAAAGGGGCACCACGTCCTTCCTTCGGCTGGCAAGGGAGTGCTTAAAGGGAGAAGGCGAGGACGTGAACGGCTCTCGGCTGCCACAGAGAGTCCAGTGCGTAAATTGCCGGCCTCCAGGAGACGCGCAAACGTCAACAGCACCCAAGCCTCGGCCTTCCAAGTCCAGTCCTGGGCCCGTCATCCTCCATCCACAGCTACTTTGGCCAAGCCCTGCAAACACGTCAGTCTTCGGGTGTAGAGAATTACAGAAAGAGAAGGGAAAAAAGATTGCTTCAAAACACTTCAATATTGTGTTTGTAAGCTTTTAAAAAGGACGAACGTCTCCAGGAGGAACTCATGTTAATATGGCACCAAGAACTGTCTTCTGGAGACCTTCACAGGTTCTCATAGGCCACACCCAATACAAGAGGGCACTTTGGCCCTCCAGTGTGGATCCAGAAGTGATGGGTTTCCTAGAAGGATTCCTCCAGAGAGAAAGACAGAGTGGAAGACTTCCTTGATGAAGTCAGAGGCCTGCTCTACACCACAGGCCGGGCCCTGCTTCCTGAGATCAGGTTGGGAGAAAGAAGCCCCATCCCAGCCAGGAAAACACCCTCCCCATCCAAACCCACCACCCACCACAACCCCTTGGCCCCTGGCTGGCAAGGCCAGAGGCACTAGCCACACCTACCTAGCCGCAGGGCACCCAGCTCATGGTCCCCGTTGTCAGACTCTGGGAGTGGGTGTTTCCTGGGAAAAAGAAAATGTCCAAGAGCCAGAGTTAAATGACAGAGAAATACCATCAGCAGAAGAGGCTGGGAGGGGTATGGGAGGGGCTCAAGAGGCGGTTCCCTCCCTGCCCTGGCCCTGTCAGTGCGCTTT